TTAATATATCTGAACTTCTTAAAGGATAATACATTTGGGGTTTTTGACTATCACCATTTACTAATTGTCTTTCATATTCACAAGATAATGATAACTGACCTCTTTTATTTTTAAATTCTTGTTTTTCAATCAATTTTTTAATTTCATTTCTTTGTGATTCTAAATATTCAGATATATCTAAATCATCATTTGAATTTGTTAAATAATACTCTTGAAAATAACCTTTTAATGATGACACTTCCTGAATATTTATTACATTTTCCTTTAGAATTGGTTTATTTTTTAAATGATCAGTTAATAATCCAATCAATTCTTTTCTAGTTTTATCTTTTATTTTAATACCATTTTTAATTGATAGATTTTGAATAAATTGTAATGATCTATATTTTAGATTATTAGAATTTTGTTTGATATTATTTAATCTTTTAATTAGTTCATCTCTATTTAAATTGTCAACATTTCTAACAGATAATTTGTTAGCAATTTCTTTTAATTTTTCACTGTTAAATAGTGAATAATTTGTTGGATCATATGACTTCTTTAATTCTTTTAATTGATCTAAATTTTCGTTTTGATAATCAACTATTTTATTTTGTTTACACCAAAGTTTTAAGTTATTAACTTCAGTTTCATATTTAGTTTTGTTTTCAAAATGTTTTTTTGAATTATAATGTCTATTATAATTTTTAGATAATATATTCTTATTACAATAAGGGCATAATATATTTTTATTGTACGCTCCATTTATTAGAAGAAAAATGTGCACGATTTATTAAGAATAATTTTATTTGAAAAAATTATTGTTGTAAAATATAAATATTAAGATAAATATTTATGTGTTAATTTAAAAATTATAAAAGTATTTTAAATAAAACTTAAACTTTTTTAAAACCAGTAATTTTTTTAAATAATACTTTCAAAAATTAATATTATTTTTATGAATTTTCTAATTTATTTATGTTTTTATTATGAATTTTAGTTTGTAAATGTTTTTGAAGATAACTAAGCCATTTTAAATCTCTACCACATTCACAATGGGTTGTGACTCTCATCATTTTTCTAACACATTCAATACAAATTGCAAATTTTTTATCTTTACTATAATAATGTTTATGAAAATTTTCCATATCTTTTGTTTCCTTACAATTCAAACATACTTTTTCACTTTTTTCTTCTACTATAATATTATCATATAACTTTTTTCTATAAATTAAATCACATTCTTTACAATATGAAAGTAATCCATCTTTATATTTTTTATTTTTATAAAAATTATTAATATTTTTTAATTGTTTACACTTTGAACATTCCTTCTCCATTTATATAGTATAAAATTTTACAAATTAGTTTTCTTCAATTCGTAATCATAAAAACTACCAAGTATATCTTCATCATTCAAGTCTTTAATACTATATGTAACAGGATTTGTATTATTAATTCTGGAAACAACAAATATTTCTCTTGACCAATTGTTTTTATATTTATTTGAAAAAGTTGATTTTTTGTTTCCTATTCTAACTCTATCATTTATTTTAAATTTAGATTTTGTAATTATTTTTGGTGGGATATATTTAAAAACTGTATTTAATAAATCATTTTCATTTTCTTTATTTACCTCAATTGGTTTCATTTTAATTGTTGAATGATATGAATTATTATATTCTTTAACTATTTCTTTAAGAATATCAATCCATCTAAAATTTTTATTAATTTCAAATAAAACTTTCATTATTTCATTTTGAGTCCTATTATATCTTTCAATAATACTTGATTTTTCTTCATTTTCTGTATGATACATTTTAATATTATATTTCTTTAAAATTCCATTAAATTCTTTATTTACAAATTCTAATCCTTTGTCTGTATGTAATAAGTTTGGTGATTTATGGCCAATTTTTATTGAATCTTTAATTATTTGTTCAAATGCTATAGATACATGTTTTCCATCTTTTTTCTTCAATGGTTTTGACCAAACATATTTAGAAAATGTATCAATAACATTCAACATGTATTTATAACCATCATTTTCTTTTTCATAATTTTTCATAATGATTAAATCAGCTGCCCATAAATCATCAATACCTAATGTAACTATTTTTCTTTTTCGAAATTTTTTTCTTATTAGAGCATGAATTTCTTTAGCTTCAATTATTTGATCTTTTTTATTTAATTCTTTTTTATTATTGGTTTAATTTCCTTTTTAATTATTTTACTTTTATTTGTTTTACAAATTGAACATTTAGTAGCAATTCTAAACAAACCATTCTTCATTTCAACAATTTCTGGATTAATATTTTTAGTTTTCTTCTTACATTTATGACACTGAATAAGTTCTTCCATTTAGATATAAACATTTAATATATAAATGGATATATGTTATAGATGTCGTAATTTTAATAACTTTACAATTATTAAAAATTATATAGGATGTAATATATGTAAAAAAACTATTTCTGAAAAAAAGATTAATAAACGAAAGAATAAGAACAAACATCTTACAAATATTTTAAGAGAATTTAATCATTTTCAACCATATCGCACACAACAATTAATCAATGAAATCTATACATTATGTATTTTAGACAATAGTTTTGAAATAACACCTAAAAATATAAAATTATTCTTAAAACAAAGAAATTATACAAACTGGATATTTTACTATCAATTCTTAAACAAAATATTCAATATTGATTTTGAATTAAATTTTGAAGATAAAAGAAATATTACAGTAATTTTTAATGCATATTTCAGTTTTACAAAAAGAAATATATCATTTAAAAAACTATTACCAATGATTTTTAAACTTTTAGAATTGAATTTTTATATAAAACCAGAATTTGATGATATTGTTTTAAAATTCTTAAAACATCTATCAACTTTAAATGATCCATGCATAATAAATTAACATAATGGTTTTTCTGATAACATAAGTGATACATCAGATATTATTAAAAAAAATAGAATTTTAAATATCACACAACAGTTCTAACAGAACTGTTGTGTGATATTTAAAATTCTTTTCATATATTTCAATTATTAACTGTTTAAAATTTCTATAATTATTTTTTGTAATAAATGGATCTATTAGAAGAGATTAATAATATTGGAGAATGTAAATTCAAAGAATATAAACCAATAAAAAGTTTAGAATTGAATACAAAATATAAAATAGAAAAATTTGAAAAAGTTAAAGATAAATATGGACCAACAATTATTGTTGAATTAGAAAAATGTAAAGTTCATTTACCTCATAGATTTATTAATATATTTGATGAAAAAACAATTAAAGAATTAAATAAAAAAGATTTAAACTTAATTATTACTGAAATTAAAACATTCAAAGATAAAGAAACTGTTTTAGTTAAATTTGTATAAAAACTACTCATTAAATTTTAAAATTTTACTTGTTTTTAAAAACATTTCAGTTTGTAGTCAATTTTATGTAAAATATAGACATATTCATGAAAATTTCATCAAAATTATATACTTTTTCTAGAAAAATATGAATATGTTAGAAATTGACCTAAAAGGGTAAAAAATATAGCATATTGTATAAAAAAATAGGAAAATTCATTTAATTTTTGAGTGGCTCCTTTTTTGGCCCAGAAGTGACATGAATATATCTACTTATATATATCTATATATATATATATTATTGAACTGATGTGTTAACCGGGAATAATATAAATAATTCCATTCAATCTATAAATCGAAAATCATTGATAATATAGGTAGATTTAGAGGATGATGGCCCGGAGAACCAAATCACTTTATAAAGTTTATACAATCAGCTTTCAATCTATTTACTTACGTAAAACATAGATATAAGTGCTAAATTTATGGGGTAAATATAATAAAAATAAAAATTTAAAATGTTTATAGGACAAAATTCTGTCATTTTTTCAAAAGAATATCTAATTTATAAATTAATAGTTGAGGTGTTGAGGTGTTCGAGTTATCAGCGTTTTAACGCATAGCGCCCCTCGCCATGTTTACCCATTCCCCCCCACGTTATCGACCACTTTTGAAATAGGCGACATACGTAATTTTGATCACCACAGTCCATATTACAATAATCAGCAATAATATTGCGTACTACTTTCATGCATTCTCAAACCCCTCAGCTCCTGGACTATTAATCTGAAGTCCAACTTCCTTTGCAAGAAACCTAGCTCTGTCTAAGCAGGTGAATAATGACTTTAAATTGAATTATTATTAATAAATCAATATTATTCGTTTTAGGCAAACGTGCAGGACGAACTACAGTTCTGGGCCAGTATTCAATTTGACATTTAGGAGAATTATCAAAATCAAATAATTAAACAATATCTCCTATTAAAAAATCTGTTCAAATAAAATAAAACTAGCTGTACCCGCGGGCTTTGCCCCGTTTTACTTCATAAGTGAGCTCGTTCGCACGGCTCAAACACATCCTGGTTGAAGTTCGTTCGCTACGCTCACTCACCTTTAGGTTGGAGCTCGTTCGCTACGCTAACTCGCCTCCATCTCGCCTCCAGGTTGAAGTTCGTTCGCTACGCTCACTCACCTTTTGGTTGCGAATTAGCAGTTGTCACAAATTAAAAAAAAAATAATAGTGCTGCACCCTGTTGGTAATCCTTGCAACTTTAATACTATTGCACATCATAGAACAGAACCAACTTGTTTAATTGAAACAGCTGATAAGATTCATTAATTCCATTTAAATATGAGTACTCATAAGGTTATCATGGGAAACTCCAGAGCCACTGGGGCGGAGCCCGAGAGTCCGATCACAATAAAAACAACTTAAAAAAAAAATATATAAAAAATAAAAAATAATAAATAATTAATAAAAAATAATTAAAAAAAATAATTTAAATAAGAAAAAAAGAATCAGTGTACCAAATTTTAGCCTCCTAGATAAATGGGAAGTGGGAAAATTAGTGATGAGTGAGTCAGTGAGTGAGTGAGTCAGTGAAGGCTTTGCCTTTTATATATATATAGATTATTATTTATTTTACCGTGGCCATCAGTGTTTGCTACTGTGGGTGTCTCAGCCGCTACGCTAAGATGAATCTGTAACAATACAGGACTATTTTAGATTTAATTATAACAATCAGTCTAATTGATGAAGAGGACGTATAAAATTCATGTCTTACAAACATCTTATATTTGTATGTAACTAAAAGTTTATAGTTAGTTGGCCTTAAATGATTATTAAACTAAGAGAAAACGTCGTTTTAGGTTTAACAGTAGTAATTAAAATCCATGTTTGTAGTCCCTAAACTGATAAACATATTGTTAGACTAAATTTCTCACCGAATCCCAACACAGCTCAATAAATGTTGTCAAATTAGGTGTTACATTTTTCGGTATTAAAACACCTTCAGTGTAGTATGCGTCAGGTACTGAAGTTGATCAGTTGTTATCTTCGCCAGGGAAGAACACGATACGGTACGCAGGACTGTCGCTTGCTACCTGTGCGGACACTCTGTTGTCAAAACAGGCCTGTTTTTTGTTTAAAATATTTTTAGTTTTTATTGTAATTCGTGCGTACCTTATTGTGTTCATCCCTGACGAAGTTAACAACTGTAAAACTTAACAATTATCTTAAGCTGACGTTGGTGTGTTAACACCGACACATGTTCTACTAATTTGACAACATATGTTGAGCTGTTACGGAGTTACGTATGTAGTTTAGTCTTACATTAGCAGTTATATTTGAAAAAAAAAAAAAACTAAAAGAGCATATAAATAATTATTAAAATGCACCAAAGAACACTATGCTATGCGTATAATACGGTTTTAAAAGCGGATCCTCAATATTTAAAGTTACTTTCAGCTTCGACTTAACTTAGATTTTCACAGTTCAATATATAGGCTACATATTATATTAGCGTCGTGTTTTTGGGATTAAAAATGAAATGTGTTTAGTTTTGTAAGGGGGTTAAGGAGTGTTTAAATTCCATGAGGGTGAAAATTAAAATATGTTATTTACAAAAATCACAATAATTTAAAACATCTCACTCGAGAAACCATTCCTCACTCGCCTACGGCTCGTGAGGAAGTATTTCTCTCGAGTGAGTCAATTGCTCCCTTTGCTCACTAGTTGCACAAATAACTATTGTGTTTTCTAAAGGCAAATTATTATGATTTTAGCGGCCTGTGAATGTTAGTGATGTTAATGACCTTGAATTAACAACAACCTCGCTTCCCCCCCCCCCAACTTCCTACAAAAACTGTGATCTGTGCTTTTGTCCAATCTGTACATTAATATGGAATCATAATATAGGAATTAGATAATAGTAGTACCGGTGTTTAAAAATCTATTAAAAAAATAATTACATTTTTCGATCCAATAATGCGCGTATCAAGCGCGTTATTACAAAAACCTATTTCTTTTGAGAAAAAGTCTAATTCCAACTTTAACTTCTTCAGTTTGTAAATTATTTAAACCCTGATTACACCTACCCTAATCAAAATGCTATACAGCATCACTCAGAACGACACTACCATTACCATAAGAGCTGTAATTGTTATAGAAACATACCACCAGAGTTCAGAAACGTGCAGGTATCTAAACGTGCGGTAAATAATGGTTACCGTACTGTGTAAAATTTGCCTTTCAGTATTAGAGGCGTATCAATTTGGTATATAATACCTTTCACTATTAAACTACTTTACGGATGTAGTACTTCATAAAGGCTGTAAACAGTAATATACCTAATTCACAAACATTACTTAATAGAAAACATTTTTAAAGCTGCACTTTCATGGTTTCACTAGCTGGCCCGACAGACTTCGTCCTGTCCTAATGTGGTTTGATGTCAAATGCTCGTTCATTTTCAAGATGAGCTCGTTCGCATGGCTCAATCACGTCCTGACGTCCTGGTTGAAGTTCGTTCGCTACGCTCACTCACCTTTAGGTTGGAGCTCGTTCGCTGCGCTCACTTGCCTTCAGGTTAGCTCGTTCGCTACGCTAACTCGCCTCCAGGTTGAAGTTCGTTCGCTACGCTCACTCACCTTTTGGTTGCAAATTAGCTGTTGTTATAAATTTAAAAAAATAATAGTGCTGCACCCTGTTGGAAATTCTTGTAACTTTAATGCTATTGAACATCATAGAACAGAACCAACTTGTTTAATTGAAACAGCTGTTAAGATTTATTAATTCCTTTTTAATATGAAAAATCATAAGGTTAACATGGGAAACTCCAGAGCCACTGGGGCGGAGCCCGAAATTCCGATCAGAATAAAAACTAAGTAGTTTTCCTATTTAATGCCCAAAAAATCGGTGTTATTAGGTTAGAGCTCGTTCGCTGCGCTCACTTGCCTTCAGGTTAGCTCGTTCGCTACGCTAACTCGCCTCCAGATGAAGTTCGTTCGCTACGCTCACTCACCTTTTGGTTGCAAATTAGCTGTTGTTATAAATAAAAAAAAATAATAGTGCTGCACCCTGTTGGAAATTCTTGTAACTTTAATGCTATTGAACATCATAGAACAGAACCAACTTGTATAATTGAAACAGCTGTTAAGATTCATTAATTCCTTTTTAATATGAAAAATCATAAGGTTAACATGGGAAACTCCAGAGCCACTGGGGCGGAGCCCGAAATTCCGATCAGAATAAAAACTACGTAGTTTTCCTATTTAATGCCCAAAGAATCGGTGTACCGAATTTCAGCCTCCTAAGTAAATGGGAAGTGGGAGAATTAGTGATGAGTGAGTGAGTCAGTATATATAGATATAGTCTATCTATATATATATAGATAATAAGTGCAATAAATTGGAAATACGAGTAATCTGATGAAAATGTATTTCTGCTGTGAAAAAAGAAAACACATATGACAACTAAATTTTGTTACAGCCCATACTTAATGTAAGAAAGTTATAGAAAGTGCAAATGGACCTAAATATAATAACCATAATACATATAAGTAGGTAAAACAAAATCTTACCGAAAACAATCCAAAAACCACAGTTAATGTTAGTTCCATGGTTGTGAAAACACCATGAACAACTGAAGGCAGTTTCATATCGAGGTGAATATAATTTTGCTGTCACATCAAGTGACTGATAAATTGCAACCAATTGCTAACTCAAATATGACTTGTACAGTTGGAAGCAATAACCCACAAGTCTAACCTAGGTGCAACGAAGTAAAAAATATCCATGTATAAACACTAGTTTTCCATTGACGCAAATCATCCAAACGGTTGTGCTTAAAAAACAAGGCAACAAACAAAGTTTATAATTTTTCTCAGAATTACTTTATATTTAGAACTTTAGGTCATGCAACAATATACAAATGTAAGCAATAAATAATTAAAGTCTAAATGACAAGTGTAAACTAAATAAATAAAATATATTTATGTGATAAGAGAGTGCAACTATTGTAAAAACGAATTGTTTGGCAATTTTGTGTGAGTAGGCTAAAACGTGTTGTTAATCAATAGCTTTTTGTCATACATACATCATAGGTACCATATATTTGGGTGGATGACTGGTTATAATGTTCACCAAAGATCGCCGGTTCAATCCCAATAATGTGAGCTTTTTGATGTTTCGAAACTGGGCTTAGTATATTCTTTGACCATTGGGCTTTTAATAAATGGTCCTGACATGGTCCTGACTAATAAAACAGTTGATCTTAGTCAGTAACAAAATCAACACAGTGCCTCTCATGAATTCTGCACTCATTCTTTACTCATGTTTGGGTTAAAATACACACCTAGGGGGCAGTGGCACCCCATCTTAACGGGTAATCTACGTATATCTAAATATCCAGCTAGTAATATTCAACCCTTGCTATGAACTGACCCCGGGCTTTATTAGTGTCATGGCTAAAGGAGAAATAAAAAAAAATTGAGTTATTCTGATGTAGAATTGCAACATTTTGTCTAATGGATTCAATCTTACTTTGGGTACCAGAGTTCGTTGTTTAAGTCTCTTTGAGTAACCAGTCAAAATCCTCAGTCTTGAATGGTGTTAGGGACAGTAGGGATAGTTCATAATTATTTCTTTTCCCGTTACTCTGTTTTAAAGGTAGATTTTTAATTCTAAAATTAATTAATTCTTTTAAAATATTAAAAGTAAAAAAAATACCAATAGGTTTCACAGGAGAAAAAAATACAAGTTCGCAATTAATAAAATTGTAAAACACTTTTTTTTACTGAAGTATTGACATTGTTTTACCTGTAATAAACTGACAATCAATAGCAATACAGTAAATAGTACTCTCGCTTTAAAGAGTATCTCACAAATTTTTATTATTATAAGAAAGTGTTTCCATTTCCGCTGTTTTGGTAAAATTGAAAATTTGACCAACAGCACTGCAAACTAGTTTGGTCTACATAGTCAATATTATAATAAAAAAGATATTATTTATGGATTAGTTTGATTGTGGGATAATTAATGTAAAAAGAAAAGTTTATAAATTCAATTTAATGACAAGAATTGTCAACGTAGGTTGTACAGACAGGCGTGGGCTGAACAAAGAACTTAAGTGGTTTAACTGAAAAGGTGAAGGGCACACACGAGTAAATGAAATTTCTGTCTAAATTAAGTGTGACGTACTTTTCCTATTCCAGACGTATAAGTAGAAACTTTTTATCGAGTGCAGCATTTAACTACCTATTGAACAAGGAAGATGAGAAGAAAGAAGTTATTGAAAGAATATAAACTTGTATTCAAACGAGGTTGTGTTAAAGCTGGTTTTGAAATGGTAGCCTACATTGAGTCAATTATATAGTTTGCAAAGTTATTTTGGTTTCGTAATATTAATATAATGATATGCCCTAACTCTTATTGCATCGTGCTACGACTTTCACTTCGATCCTACAAATGTACATGAGTTGAACCATATATCTTAAACTACTAATAAAATCTCTTTCATAGCAATAAGAAATAAATGGTGTCAGCAAACTGACACATACTTTCTCCCATTATTTTGACATTAAAAGTGAACACCTTATTACTTTTAAGGTAACAATTGTTTAACAATATACCTGGAAAGCTAACTTAGGTTGACAAAAGTGTCAAATCACAAAGTGCAGAACTAGTTATTTTATTATTACCATAAACATCATATTATCGTTTCATGTTCACTTAAACTTTTTAATACATTCATAGTACATTTGTACCCTGAAAATAAGCTATTTTCATAACAATAATTATTAGTTGACTTATAAATTAATTAAAGTTACAATTGAGGTTTTTAAGGGAGGTTTTAGGTTTTTTTATCTTTTTATTTCAACCTCTCTTCAGTTGAAAACACTTCGAGACCCTCCTATCCGGTAGATCATACTGTACGGGCTTTTACAGGCCACTGAGTTTTTATTAAATCCTTTTGGCCAATAGGGGTGGAGAGGATAATATAAACAAACTCTCAGTGTGCATTACTCATACCTAACATTCCTATGTTAGGTCTACATGCTGTTACTACTAATTTAATTTAATTTAAGTTTATTTAAAAACGTTTTCGTTCTAGGTGAAAAATATAAATAGTCTTAGATCAATAAGAATCGACAATCATTCATTTTCAGGTTTATCGTTTATATAGGGTAAAATCTACTCTTTTATTATGAAACCCCCATTAAACCTCGAGCAAATGGTTCGTACCTACCTTTGATAACAAAGAATTATAATTCTATAAAATTACATATAATGTTTTCTTGGACATAATAGATTTTATTTGCTAAAACATGTAAAAGAAAAGGAGTCTTATATTAGGTAATTTAGCACCCTTCAAATCATTTATTTGACTTTTCTTTAGTTGAGGAAACTATACAGGGTGTTTTTAAAAACTTACATCTCTATTTATATAAAAACCGCAATAGATAGAAATGTGCAGTTTTCGGGAATCATCTATTGACGTAGGGGGCCCAATTGTTTTGAATTCGACGTTACATTGACATTCCCCCCCCTTTCCCCCCTGCCACCAACTTAATTTTTTTTAAATAGCAAGGTACCCCTTGTGACATATCAAATGAAAGAGCATGAAAAAAGAAAATGTTTGATGAAAAAAATTGAAAATTGGTTCACAAATTTGCGAGATATTCCCCCCCCCCTTCCCCGGAACTTAATTTTTTTTAATAGCAAGGTACCCCTTGTGACATATCAAATGAAAGAGCATGAAAAAAGAAAATGTTTGGTAAAATTTATTTTTCATTTGATATGTCACAAGGGCGGGTACCTTGCTATTAAAAAACAAGTTATGGGAAGGGGAAAAGGGAGGGGGGATTATCTCACAAATTCATGAGCCGATTTTAAATTTTTTCACCAAAAATTTTCTTTTTTCATACTCTTTCATTTGATATGTCACAAGGGTACCTTGCTATTAAAAAAAATTAAGTTCCGGGGAAGGGGGGGGGACAACTGAAAATCGCCCCCCCTGAAACTGAAAATGTGTTTCGTAGTTGAACTGAAAATGGATGTGTAAGTAGTTAGCATCTCGCAAATTTGTGAACCAATTTTCAATTTTTTTCATCAAACATTTTCTTTTTTCATGCTCTTTCATTTGATATGTCACAATGGGTACCTTGCTATTTAAAAAAAAATTAAGTTGGGGGCAGGGGGAAAGGGGGGGAGTGTGAATGTAACGTCGAATTCAAAAAAAATTGTGCCCCTACGTCAATAGATGATTCCCGAAAACTGCATATTTCTATCTATTGCGGTTTTTACATAAATAAAGATGCAAGTTAAAAAAAAACACCCTGTATATCTTTTTCATGTTGCATTATATAAAAATACCGTACCCCATTAAATTTCTATTTTTAATTTTATAGCTATATATTTTAGTAGTAAAATAAGGTAAAACACTTCTTATAAACTCTCAGGTTTTATTACAAAAAAAATTTGTTAAAAACCTCTTGATCCAGAATCTAATTAATTTTACACCACTATTACTTTGATAGTAAACTAATAAAATAATATTATAAAAAATATATACAATTGATCGTGGTAAAACACTAAATAAACCACCCGAAACCACCTGTAGTGTATTCTCACGCTCTTTCCTGGTTCGCTCTAAATTTCTTTTAGAATCAATGAATCCTATTAATTTTTCAATTCTTCGTGACAAAAACTGAATAGTCACTAACGTAATAAATATAAAATATTTCAAATGATTCAATTAACAATGTACACATATGTTTTTTTTTATTTTTAATGTCAAATTTAAATATGATTAATGAAAGAGCTGTTAGTTGTATAGTCATTTTTAAAGTCTTGTGTTTTAGCTTATGTCCCAATGCTAAACCCACACAGGTAGATGAGTAATTAGGTATGTTATCTCTAGTTGTATTGAGTAAGTCATATAGACTTTAGTCAGAGCAATCTTGTCTTGCAATCTACTTGGTCTGTCGACCACAAACCATTGCAATAGTGAAGTCACCTTTGATGTTGAAACTAGGTAAACTTCCCACTACAACACAGTCAAACAGGTAGAGGAGACTACTAATAATGGCTATTCTCTGACAAAGGAGTTATATTACTCATTCATTTTCAATTATTTGCACGAGAATCTTTTGGACCAGTTTGTTTGTCCAAAGGAATAAGATAGCAGGGGCAGCATGGTCTAGTGGAAGAGCTCAGGACATCTGTTCCATACGTCACGTGTTCAAATCACGTTAATCACCAATGGATTTTATGTAAAAGATATAACCACGACATTCAACGTAAAATATGGTATATTCCAAGAACAATAGTTATAAATTTAACATCTTAATTAATTATAAAATCTATATCATTATAAAGCAAATCATCTCAAATAAGCAAATCTGAATATATGCTGGGCAAAGTGTAAAATTATCATCTACAAACTCATAAAACTATAGACTAAAGCAAAGAGTGGACGTGGCTTTAGCAAACTCTGTAGCGTTAAAACAAATTGTGGGTCACTTAGACACCGTCACCATTTGTTGTTATGTGACATGGTTACGTCATTGTGTTCCAGTTACTGTGTAACAGTGTCAATGTACACATGCAATACAGAATATACTACAGAAT